TACTTTATAGGAAAACCTGTTGGCTTGCTATTCTTTGAGCTATGGCTTTTAACTTCTTTGTATTTTGTGATGTATCTGCCAATAGTTTTGTGAACTTTAATATATGACTGGATGATCTGTGTCCACTTTGTGTGGTATAGGATCCTTGACTCTTTTTTGGCTTAATGTAATTCTATTATAATATTAGGAAAATGTCTTTGAATATATATTGGTATATCACATTTCACCTCAGTATTATTTTCTTGATTCATATTGTGAAGTTGCTTTAGAGTTGTTAGGAATAATTGTAGATGAAATAAGGAGGCATCTGATTCTTTGTTTACTTTCTGAAACATTTTTTCTGATGTTAATGTTTTTTTGTATATGTTTTTTCACTGAATACAAGAGTTGAAAGCTAAAGAAATTTTATCTTTGATCGATCAATCAGGGATCTGAGGGTATATTGCTCATTGTTGATTCCACTATTTGGAAAATTTTTTCCTATTGCTTGTTATTAATGTAAGGCTAGTTGTACTTTATGTTTGATTTGTAGATAAATGTAATTTTAGGTGTATTTAACTCTCATATCTTCAGCTCTGTGATCACTAGTAATTAGAGAATCGAGCATATCCATAATGTTGGCTTTATGTGTATACTATATTGCTTTGGGATTAATTCAGATCTGGTCGAATCTACTGTGGCTACCTTGACCTTGCCAAGTATATTCTCTTTTTGATGGGTTGTGAGTGCAATATGTGTTTATAAAAACATTGTCAATAAGGGTTTCAATTTGTTTTCCTGATGGATTATGGGTATAAATCAGTTTTTTGTTACTTAGTTTGTTCATGCTAGGATTGGGTGTACTATGCAGGTCCCCATAACTATGACATGCCAATTCTGTACCATTGCTTCATTGATTCATTGTTTGAGTGTATATATTATATATGTTTGTTTTTTAGATAAGTTTTGTGCAGGGAAGTAGAACTGATTATTCTCAGTTATCTTTTCCTTAAAAAGGTGAGTTCTATGGTTATTAGTCTGTTATTGAAGGTTTTGTATTTATATATTCTCTACATAATATCTTTTTTGATCATTATATTTAGACTATAACCTAGGATTTGCATCTCTTTGTAGGATCAGATTATTTGAAAGTTTGAATGTTTTCAATATTTAGAGTATTGGTGTGATCCATTTGTTTTTGTTATTACTATGATGTTCATTGCTTTTGGTTATATAAGTTAAACTATGTGTTTCTCTTTTGTATGTCTACTAATTCATATATGTTGATGGTATAAGTTTTCAGATTGGTTAGTATTTATTGAGGTTTTCTTCTATGGGCAAATTATTATTGTTGTAGTTGTTGTTGATGTTGTTGTTGGTGTTATAATTAGTTAAGTTCATTTCTATTGGATTCGTATTCAGTAGTTGAGATGTTGAATCAAAGGAATTTGATAATTGAGTTTTATCTAAAGGTTCTTGTTATATTGTTGATATTGTACTTTGTGAGCTTCCCATTATTTATTTGATTGATTGTTGGTTCTCCTGGGAATAAGTTCTGTAATAGTATTGAGTGCTTTGTTTATGTTTTTGTTTATTATACTGATAGAAGCATGTATTTGTTATTGTTGTATTTGTATATTGGCAGTCTCATTATGATGACTGGTTTGTTATCCATTATTTGTTATATCAAGTGACTCTGTCTCAATTTCTGTTTCCATTTTTTCAGGAGTATCATCTTCTGTATTCTCTAAGTTATATACTCTCTAATCAAATCAATGATATTTTCTTAATTTCTTCGATTTTTCCTTTAATTTCTTTCAGGAGATACAAAATATTTGTGAGTGTTGATTATTCATTACTGTGTTGGCTAGTATTGTTTTGTTATTGGCCTTGTTTTGTCACTGTCATATAAGAGCCTGGTCATCTTTGTTTTTCTCTTAAAGTTCTTACTTGATTTCTGATTGTTGTAGTACATGTTGGTTTGTATTTATTATAGAGTTTCCCAAATTTTCCAGCTTGCTCTTTATTGTATTGCTTCTACTGAAGTTGTTTTTCTTTGATGGGGCAATTAGTCACAAGGTGTTTATGGCTGTCATAGATTAACCAGAGTTTTGTTTCAATTAGTTACCAGGTGTTTATTGTTTCCTCAAGTTGATAATCTTATTTTATTGCCTCGTTCAAGTCTTTTTGACAATCAAAACTCAGGATTGCAAAGTATTTTCTTTGATATGACATTCTTCTTTTTATATAATATGTTATGGCTTTGACTTGTTTACAGATTAATCTGAGATTAAATGCAGTTGTATTTGATGATAGATTAGTTAATTTGGCTATAATTTGATTACGTTCTTTTATTTGTTTCATATCCTATTGTATGTCAAAAACTTTGACTGAGTCTGACTTGAGTGGAACATTCTATCAATTGATTGGTGCTTCTTTATTATCTTTATTTGTGTATGTAATCATTGATGTTTGTCACATTTGTTGTGTTGATATAATGACATTGCTGATTGCTTCATATTTGATAAAAGATTGTTGCACTTCTATGAATTTTGTGTCAAGGTGAATGTTCCATACTTTGACACTCATTTTCTTTTTAAGAATAGGATTTGTGATCTCCATAATTTTTATGTGTTAAATGTTTGTTTTAGGCATATTTTGATCACTACTTGTTTGTTACTGAGAATGATAATTATGCATTCATTTTTATTGCTTCCTTCATTACAGATAGTGAGAAGTCCTTCTAGAGAGTTGAGAGCTTTAGTGAGATGGGTTATTTTTTATGTTGCTATCCTACCAGAGAGTTCAGATGCCAGGATGCTGATTTTAATTTTTTCTCTTTCATATCTTTGTATTCTATCGAATGAAGAAAGGATTTTGATTTTGTGGTTTGCTTGTATTTCTTTTGTTTGCCTTTGTAGTTGAATATTCTGTAGGAAGGAGTGGTGGGTGTCATTGAGTATTCTTCTTCTATGTTGATGTGTGAGTTGAAGGCATATTTCTCTTTTTCTTGATTCTGGATAAGTATGTCTTAATTAGTGTTGTTTTTGCTTACAGGATTGCTCATGTCTTTTTCGACTTCTTCACTCCAGTTTGAGGTGTTTGTTTTCTTTCTTGCTGTTGAACTGCTTGTTGGAATATCAGTTGTTTTATTATTTATCTGTATGTGCCTGTTGGGAGAGTTGGGAGCTGATGAGAATTGGTTTTTTTCAATTAGTATTTGATTTTGAATAATTTTCTTTGGTGCTTCAGAGTTGTTTCTTTGTGTAACTTGTTGGTGTTACCTCTTGCGAGAGCATTCTCACTGTAGTCAGACCTCCATTGGGCTGTTCTGTTGCAAAGTTCCCTTTGGAAAGACATCCTTCCATTCATTTTTTCTTTTCTTTGCAAAATTACCATAAAAGAAAATTTTTTAGAAAAAAAGGATCAGTGGGAAAGAATTTTTTTTTTTTTTGATAGAGGAATATGAATAATTATACTATTTTTTATATCAGTTAGCACTAGAAATATGTCCTGAGAGCATACCATGAAAATAGACAGTAAAAAGGTGGGTTAACTTCGACTAAATATATAAGAAGGCGGGGTATATAACTGTAAATAAATCTGATGTTATTTATCCGAAAACATATCATTGAAAGGGTATTCTTCTGCCATTTTTCTTATAATATATTACTGCACTTGAATACCCTTGATGACATACCCAAAAACTTACCCGAAAACATACCCGACAACCTATCGAAAACATATTATCAAAGTGTAATCTTCTGCTATATTTATTATATATTTCACAAAGACTATACACAAGTACATATTATGAAATGGGTGGGCATCTGCCATATTTATTATATATATCTCACTAAAACTCGATGTATTTTTTTTGATACCACTGCATATCAAATTAATTTAAACTTTTCCAAACTATATTGTAATAATATAATCGAACAAAGATTGATACATACCAATAAAAAACCAAATACCAAAAATGAGTAAACAAAGTGCACAACTCGAGCAGTACGGGGGCAGGGAAACTTTAGCTGGAATTCCAACTCGTAATGATATTATTTCAGAATGTGATAATGGGTTAACGACTATACTTCAACAAAGCTTATCCAATAACCAGCCTATATACTTCATGCCTAATGATGTGAGCGATGCTACTGAGTACGTAAAAAATGTATCTATATCTGATATATTCTACGTATTTACGGTACTTTGATTAATAGGCAAAAGGCTAGTTTTTTAATTAATAAAACAATCAGACCTAAATAATTTTTTTCCTGATAATTATTTTGTATGATAATTGTTATCTAAAATTAATTCAAGATCGTTACTACGGAAGAGATAAGAAAGAGCTCAGAAATCTACGATTTATTTAGTGAAATTGGTGAGAGTATAATCCAACGGATTAATTAGCAAGCAAACATAATTTATATATTACTGCGCCACTGCCACGTGACGACATGACCTCGGGTCAAATCAAATCTATGGATTTTTGAGTGGCGACAAGTTCTTTCAGCTGAGTATTACTATCCATTTGAATATACCTTTTTCCAGACGTTTCCTGGCCCTGTAAGTCCTACGAGACTGGGATGTTCGCTCCCCAGATTTGCTGTAGGTGTTGTGTTTGGAGCGGGCTCACGACGAAGTTCGTTTCGCAAAAATGGTGTTTGGTTGTGTTGTTCAACCACATTGCCATCGTGTGCAAGAAATCGTAAAGGTTCTGATCGAAATGTCAGCGTACCCAGGCTCTGTAAGTCCTGCGAGACTGGGATGTTCGCTCCCCAGATCTGCTGTAGGTGTTATGTTTTGAACGGGTTTGCGACGAAACCTTGTTTCGAAAAAATGGTATTTAGTGTCTTTCTGTTCCACAGCGAGTTCTCGGTGCCATCGTGAACCGACCTTTTCGGTTTCTTCAAAGATTTCTGGTGTTATTTATTAAATTTCAACGGCAATAACGACTCTGTTACTAATCCTCAGATTTAATGTTTTTTTATAGACAACATACATAAAGTACAGACGTTATGTTACGGTTCTACACTTTAACCGCAATCTTTATTGTTTTGGAATGCTCACACTGTTTATTCTCGTAGGAAACCATGACACCTTTGAACCCTCGACTTCAGTTCGTTGTACGATCTCTCTCTCATCAAATTTTATAAGAAATATGTAAGCTTGCACACGTCTCGAGAGGAAGCTGAGGCGAGCTTATTAGCTCTGCTGAAAACCGTGAGTGAATCAGGAAAGGCTAAAGAAGCTACTTATGCTAGAAAGCATATCGCGAATTTCAGTGATCTGACCATTAACAAGAAGTGCGACCAATATTGGGATGATAGGGACGTAAAAATGGCGAAGAGGCGAGCAGAGAAACGAGGAGCTATTCATGATTATCATATTCAATACAATGTGTATCAAGAACACGACGTTCACAGTACAAGAATCACAAAGTTGACGGGGGAAAAACGAAAAGATGTCACAGACAAGGATGAAACGTCTCACCAAAAGGTAATAAATAACCCAGATTCACCTCTTAGGTATTCTTGATGTGTTTACAAACTTTGTAAATTTGATGCATTCGTTCAGCATATTATGAATCAGGAATTGATACCGGAGAATCTGAGATATAGACAATATTTTCTTTTTTTTTTTTTACTGCATATTCCACTAATAAATGGACATTCATTATATAGGTTGCAAAGAAAAAGAGTAAAATTGACGAACTTTTCCAAGATATGAGAAAACGCAATATATATATGTTATGTGGACCGTTTAAAAAATTGTCGGAACTGGATGCGGAGGACCGGTTTGAAAATATTGTTCGTAACGCTACTATTGAAATTGATTTTCCCAAAGATATCAAAGAATATCTTCACGATTTGCTCAGTGGGGATATTAAGAGTGCATTGTCAAAAGTAAAGGAGCCACTCAGTGAGGATGCGCGACCATTACTGTTATGGACAAATGAAGTTTGCCGGCACTTTATTTTTTACTTCCATTATGGTGGTTTACAGATAGACGGCGACGAAAAAACTTGGTCCAACCAAACGATTTATCGTATTATTGATCTATTTTCGGTGTTTTTTTGAAAATTGACATCAGGAATTGCCTTGTAAGTCTAATTTTTGTACCTTTGCTTTATGATAATTTGACACTATCCTTACTTTTAGTGGAGAAATTACAAACGAAGCGCACAAAGATAGAATTTATACCATAAATGTTAATCAAAAACCGTCAAATTCAAGGAGAGGTGATAAGAATGATGCTGTCTTGTATCAAGATGATAACGCTACAATTGTATATGAACAATCATTCGGGCCTACAGAATTTGATTCAACTCATTATATGGAAGATATAACGAAATTAGCGCGTAACGGAGTAGATGATCTAAATTATCACTTCTTAAATCCTCCGTAACAACGGCGAAAAAACTCAAATCCATCGGCATCCATGGATATAGTATGAGATTTCCTTTTGTTTTGCATGAATGGATTGTTTTATCTTAAGGCTTACTTATATGCTTTTAGAATATTCTATGTCAATCTACCTCACGGACCTCATTTGTAAGAAACTATATAGGATATATGAAATATCCAATTGTAAAATTCCAACATCATACACGGATCGATGGTATCTAGCTAAGATTGCAAAGATAGGCGTCTATTTGGAGGTATTTCTTTTTCCAGACGCATAAATGTATCTCATTTACTGTTACTTATTGCAGGGTTTACTTACTATTATAGGCACTGCTCAACGAACGACAATTCGTGAAGGGAGAAATAGGTGAAGAAGACATGATCAATGAAGATGGTCCCGATTATGTGCGCGATTGGATATCAGTTCCAGATAACACTCCAGAAACAAAAAGAACAAGTTGCTCACAGAACCAATAATTTTTTGTTTAACGAATTTTATTTACCCGCCTTCTCGTGACTTCATCACTCGAAGCCAGATTTTTGCAGTTATCAATATTTTATTATCTTTAACCGGTTAACTATATATCTTTTTTCGAACTTGTAAGAAAAAAGGGGAAAGCAAGTTGATCACCCATTTGCTATATTAATTTTTTTTTTTCGCTTAAATATATATACTGTATATGCTCATTTTGATGTAAATCATATTTGAGATAACAAATATACAATGAGTTATAACAGAGTACGAGATAAGTAAATATGGTGAAAATTATATTGTTAAATGAAAAAATATTATCCACCAAAATAAATATGCAAGCGTTTATTAAAACTAGGATATGAAATAAATAATAGAGATTACTGGAAAAATTGTATTTCGCATCAAAAATAATTTAACCAGCCATCAGCAAATAGGTAATAATCCTAATTATAGGGATTTAAAGTTCAACTAGCGTTATATAAAAACAATCGTGCATCATTAATTATCCGGCGAACATATCGTTTATGGAGAAAACAAATTAATTCCGCTAAAATAATCCAGCATGTAGTAATTGAGTGGCTCTATCGACCAGGCGGATCATTTATGAAGCAAGCCAAAGATTGATGTTATTGCGTTGCAAGCCTGAAGGGTGATCCAAGGATCATGGATCTTTGTCCCTATCAAAATGCGAATAAGCTCCATCATCAGATAGAGCAGATCTTATTTCTTCTATCCAAAAATATCTTAAAAATAAGCATACCAACCGTGTCTGCATTCCGGAGTAGTGACCTATCAATCAATTATAACAACTGGTGCGAGTGGAAAGTCTTTGAATCTTTTTTCGATATAAGCTAAAACCTTTCTAGATAATATTTTCGATGGAGGTACCTCTATCAATATCCGCCTTCTCATGACTTCATCACTCGAAGCCAGAAAAATAATTAGCTATATATACGTGTATATTTTTTTCTGAGAGTCGAGGAAAAAAGGGTAATAAATCGATACTCATTCATTACAATATCAATCATCTCTTCTTGGTCTGCTATTAATTCTCGAAAAAGCTGTTTGTTTATCTTATCTATAACTGGACGATGAATTTCTTCAGAACTGAAACCTATATACTTGAAAATCTGATCACGTAGTTCATAAGACATTTTTCTTTTCTATAATATGTAATAAAATCGATTTAATTTGTTTTAATACTAAATTTGGAGCAAGAAAATTTGTAAGTATATGTTGAGATGAGACGTAATAATTAGCGTAAAACAATAAGCCTCAATAAAACGATGTCAAGTGTAAATCCGCATATATAACGGGGTCTCTTTATTTTTTAAAAAATTGCCAGATGGTGATTACATTATGAAAATATGAGTGGAGACTCTATGCTCTTCATACTCATCTTTTTTCTAATAATTTAATAAACTATTATTATCTACCAATGAATTGGTATTAGATACTGTTCTCACGGTTTCGGTACGAGTTATTCGCGCATCACCTTGCCTTACTTCTTCCCTGCCTGTTTTTAATGAAATAAAGGACTTAGTTGAAGGCTGGCATGGCTAATCTCGACAAATATATGATATGAAGCTTACTTACGTGTTTGAATAGTTTTCACGTTCCTGATTTAGATGATTTTGGATCGTTAGGATAGTTGATCTTAACAACACAGCTTTCACTGGTTTTGGAAACACTTCTTTCATTGGTTCTGGAAATATTACTTTCATTGGTCTTGGAGGTAGAGACGTCATTTGGACTGCTCATTTTTACGTCCTATATATAAAAAACAATAAATGGGAATACGTCTTATATTCTTAATTAAATAGCAGTACATGAATAATGGTACATTACTGGAATTAATCGTAGAAAACGTTATTGGGGTCAGGAAAGAAAAACGAGATACTTTATAGCATCCAGGACCATTGAATCCATTTCGAAGTTAAGTAATTTTCGTCATTATTTTTGGTAAAGCGTGCCCCTTAATTCCGAAAATCCACCGGCAAAGTAAAAAAGTCAATGATCGCGATGATCTGGGAAATGCAAAGTCATTGTAGCGTATAAACTTTGATTAAACTACTAATGAGAAATGATAACCCCATTCCCCTTATGGTTCTTTTAAAACTAATTAGTGTTTTTCTTCCGGAGGTAGGTACATATGAGATAAGGAAAGTATATAAATCGCATTACGTATTTAATCGACGAATCAGTGATCAGCGTAGAAGTTTGTGTAAATCTTTTTTTTTTCGCTATATGTACTGTATTTAGGCTAGAAGATATTTCTATAATAATCATGCTTCACGATAAGATCAAGCGTAAACGAGACTCGAAAAGGCAATAAGGAAGGTCAGCTCGATAATGAAAGGTTTATGTTGTAGGAAGTCGAAATCTCCGCAATCTCCGTATGTCTGCTCCTGCGTAATCCATATCTATAAATAGACACTGATCCGTCCAAAAAAATTTTTCATTCTATTCCTCACTTCAGCCGGAGGTCATAATGCATAGCATAAACCATCTACTTTAACTGAAGAAAGGTCAACTCCAACAATGGCGGACGTTGTGAGAGATCTAGACACAGAGGAGCTTATTGACTATTTACAGAGGCGAGATCTAAAACTCGATGACGATGACTTTGCGATCTTCCGCAAAGAAAAAATAGCTGGTCGTGCATTTCTCAAATTGACCAAAGCAGAGTTTCGAATTATAGGGTTCACATTAGGAACAGCAACCGTTCTTGTAGATTTTATCGAAGAGAAAAATTAAGAGGATTCTCGTCATATAAAACATTGGAAGAACTAAAGGACGTTCTCCGCAAATATAAAATCAATGGGGAGGATATAACGAGCATCAAGCAATTCAGTCCAGGTACGTGGTATTTTTTCTTGGTATTTTTCCGAGACATAATGTCCCGCAAATTTCTTGGCAAAAGTGATCGGCGTGAACAATTGTTCACGCTCACATAGATTATATGTTAATATTCTTCCATTGTATAGTTCCCGAGGAAATCGATGACGACGACAAAGCACTCGAACAATGTATGAACGAAATAATACTACGGTTGACGAATGTAAAATCAATGATAGAGGCAAACGAAGCAACGCGTTGCGAATTTATTTCATCCGTATTACACGCATCAATATCAATTGCGAGAAGAATGACGAACAAAGAAATCCATATAGAATTGCAGAGGGATATTTCAGATGAAGAAGCATCCGGAAGAGTTGATTACGCTATAACTGGGATGGAGGATCTTTTGTGTATCACAGAGGGAAAACCGCGAAATGTTAAGATTGGCTACCTTCAAAATATAAACCAACTCGAGAGTTCCTTCCACATGAATAAGAAGAAGCGAACTGCGGACGAAGCATTTAAGGCCGAGGATTACGACTATTTATATGGGATTGTGTCGACTGGTATGTGAAAATTTTCTATTATGAGACGGATTCATAGGATAACTCTAAATCATGATCTTCGTTCTGGCTTTGCTAATTATCCGATTTATTTTTAGGCGCGGGTTGGCATTTTATCATGTTTACCTCCGAAGGTATTTTTTGTACTAGCAATAGTGAATATCAAATAAATCTTGCGAAAAAAGCGCTTAAGGGAAATCAGGAAAGTTTGAGGGAAGAAATAAAACAGGTAATCAGTATAGTCGTAGGGTTATTGAAAGATAGGGTGTTAGCGTGTGAAGAGCCTGAAAATAAGAAGCGACGCGTGCAAGAAAAAATTATCAAAAAATAATGGGAAGATAGTTCCTGCTTCATATGTACTATATTATTTATACGTACCAATAAAGGCTTTTTGCCAACGATAACGTGATTAACAGGTTTAACCACATCAGTTTTACTAATGTATAAGCGCACTGACGAAATCTGGTATGGGTAACAACACGTGTTTAGATCAATGGTAAGGATCGTATACTTATTACGGAACAGGCCAGCTTCGAATCATGGCTATTATCTATTTGAATTTTTGAATTTTGGAGTTGATATCGGAACAGATCTTCTTTGTTAAGTAAGTACACCCTCCCTAAAAGATAAGAGGTCTATACTAAATTGAATGAACAGTTGGCGTTGTATTACTTTCATTCGTGTACTTTAGAATCTAAGAATGAGGATCGGATGCAAGGCTATCATAAAAAGAAATTAATCAGGCTAGTTAAAAGATCGGTTTATTGTTTGAATTTGTTGAAGTTGGTACTGCAAGTAACAAACGTCATTAGTCTCCCATTATACTCTATTATCTTTCGCCACAGGTTAACGTTCTCATTATTAATGATAATAAGAACAAAGAATTGTTATTGATCCAATTAACACATTTCACCTACGTAAGGTGTGAGGCGCTACCCATCGCCTTGTAGTAGAAGCTTCTGGTAATTTCTGATCCTTTACTCCCGTCTATAAATAAATTCTGATCTGATTTTTTTTTTTTTTATAAAAAGGTCGAGGAATTTTTTTAATGTGTCTTTTACCCTCTCTATGATAACGATTTAATGAAATAAGGGGCAAAACGTTTAACGAATCTTATCTGTAAAAAATAAAAAAATCCATACTCTCAAGACAATATCCTCACCTTCTCGTGATTACATCTCTCGAAGTCAGAAAAATAGATACCAGGAATTTCCCTTAATGTATGTCGACATCCATTTTTGTTTATATGCTGTGGTACACCCCCACATTCGTATATACATGCTAACAGACCATTTTCCCCTTATAGATGACATCGCTTATTGTTTCGGGGATCGCTCCATTCTTGGACTTTGCCGGCCTATTGACATTCGTGGAGAAAATATCAATTTACTTGATCGCTGGTGTCACGTTTTATTTTTACGTACCACAAAGAATGACATCATCGACACCAAAGATAATTCCGATCTTTCTGCGCATGATACCACGTTGAATGAAAATCTTGCCACCGAGCTTGATAATCGTGACGCCAGAATCGCAACCGAAATCCAAAGAATCTTAACAATGCTCAATACTTTTACTGCGAGACTTGATGAGATCGAACGAGTCCTTCAAAGAATCGAGGAAGCAGAACCTCGAAACGATGTAAATCCTCGAGACGATGCAAATCAACCCGAAGCTTCTGATTCGAGCCAACGATCATTTTCGGATATGACTTCAGAAATACTTTTTCCTCTCATGTTCGGAAAAAGATAATTAAATAACAATAGTTAACACAAGACAAGTACCAGAAGAAGGATAGCAATCGAATTTGATAACATCAGGATGGAATACATTAAATTGGACGGAGCTCGAGGTAGCTTGCAGGAAGCAACCCAAGTGTCACGATCATTGGTGTCAGAATCAGAGGATGAAATTTTAAGCCTTGAAATTAGTGACCCATACCGGCCAAATCAAAAAACAGTTCATGAAGCTTTGGAATTTAAGATTAAAAAGAAAAGCAACAAGTATTTAGAGCCTTTAAAAAACCGAAATGATGCAGAGTTGAGATGTATGTTTATTGTTTTGAGATGTTTTGAGAGTAGGTTTGCATCGCCCAATTAGCAGGAGGGTTTATTGTTTTAATGAATAACTTGTCGAATGGGATTACTTCTTATATTAATCATTGGAAAATAAAATTTCGCCCACGATCCTGTGCATGCATCGGAAATAGGTCGTTCTGTACAGGTATGCAGAAATGTAATGCTAACATGAATTTTTATGCAAATGACTGTAAATTTTTTAAATATATGCATTATTTACCATTCATAAAAATATAATCGCGTTTACTTTTTGCATATGTATTTCAGGATTTTATCTTTAGTAGAAAGTGCATTTCATGCATTACATTGTACGAGTGTCGATGTCCAGATTTTTTCTTGGCAAAAGTGATCGATTGTGAATAATATAGGCTTAGTTGCGATTTGAATGAATGCGCTTTCTATATAAAGTAATGTCTAACATTCAATCCAAAATCTCTTCGTTGCAAGAATTAAATTCCAAGCTTGTAGCCGAGATTACCGAGCTTAGAAAGGAGAATGCGAAGTTGAAGCAAATTATTGAGGAGAATACAAAGCGCGATGTTAGAGTTGAGGAACTAGAGCAAAAGAATAGAGAGCTTGAAGCCAGACTTGCGATATTGGAACGGGATGCTACTGAGGTAACCGGACAGCCACAGAATAATGAATATTTCAGAGATAGTAGTATCAGTTGCTAATGTATCAGATTCCATAGTAGAGAATCTCAATAATGAAGTAGAACGAACAGTTACCTGTGATAGCACACCCAGTGATAATATCAACAAGTCACCAGAAGATTTCAACTCGGTTACTCAACCATACAACAGCACAGCATCAGAAACATCAGCTACAAATATTCCGAAATTCTCTCATTCAGATAGTAATGAAATTAGTACCCAATACGAAACTAGTAAGATAGGTAAGAAAATAGGAGTATAATATAAAAAAGGTAAGAGATTGGACAAACTTAAATATTAAATATTCACTCCGGAAACATCATAGGAACCATCAATAAAGCAAAATCATGTAGGCGAAATTTCCGAGACATTATATCCCGAAAAAGTTACTTCTGGTGACAATTCTAGCATTGATGAGGCCTCACAACATCTAGCTCAGTTATGTGATAAGGCTTTTGATGCTGAAGATAGAACGAATCGAGCTAATCACATGGAAATTTTATGCTGGTCCCTCTATGGGAAGGATTTCAGAATTCAGCTCAACAGGATTATAGAAAATAGCAGAGGTACAATTGGTGAAAAAAAAGTAAGAAGCTTACTGTATGATTCCATTACAGAACAGCTTAATTTACTTCGTAAACAAAGATCCCAAGAATTAGGTTTACAACTTCGAGATATATCACGAGATAGTTTGCGCAAGAAAACTCAGAAAGCTGAGAAAGTCTATAAATTTTTTGAAAAAGTAGGTCATGATAAAATCAAATACATCAAATCATATAGTGCAACTTCTATTTCAGAACTTACTGATGAACAAATTCAAGAGGTTATAGATTATCGTATATCTTCAGAAAATTTACCTCTAGTAATCGATCATGTGGCTAACATTTCCGAGACATCATGTCCCGGAAAAATCTTGTCTGAAGTAAGTAAATCAACTGCAATTCCTATCCCATCATCCCATACCAAGAATGTTTTATCAGAAACCGAGATAAACACATCATCTGCATCTCAGGATTTATCAAAAACAGAGGTAGGTGGACCCAATGATTCTTTAGGCTCGAAGAGTCATGGCTCTGCCATAGATTCTAACTTGGAAGAATCGGAGATTCGAAGCTTTGCTTTATCACCTGATGATAAGAAATCCTACGATGGAGACACTAATGATAATGGCGATTTTGACGTGAACCAGCTTCTTGTTGAGAATTTCTTTGATGATGACTCACAGAGTGAGGATGCTAGCGCAACTAGGATAATGAAAATGATGACGAATTCTCCGATAATAACGAAGAGGAAGATGATGATGGAGGATATTGTGGTTTCTCTGACGATGATGAAGGATATTATTATGATTTAAATACTGGTGAAACTTACACAAAATCAGAATATCGTTATTCAATCCGCGCATATTAATAATGATTCCAGCACATGTTATTCGTAAAACCTAATTTCAGATACGTCTCAGACACAGAGTATCTTGCTTTGGTATGGAATGAGAATGCTTTGCATCTAATTGGTAATTGGATATTTTTTTCGTCGATTACAAAATCTCGGGAGATAATGCATTGGATAGATAGGGTTTCTGATTGTTATGAGCCAGAATCAAAGTGACGCGTACAAAGGCAAAGCCTCATGCCTGAAAGGCACTCCTAAGGAGCTGTTCCACAATAGAAAAATTACCAAAAAAATAGCAGGCATATAATTTTATATATTTTCATGTATATAGCGATAATTGTATTATAACAATAAAAAAGCAACTTCTGATTTATATTTTTTTATTACTGTAGACCCTTTGGATCACGGCTTTGTCATACTATATATATCAATAAAACAAAAAAGTATCAGAGACAGCCACAGTGGCAGGCATATCCAAACTTATTTCTGTAATTGTATTTCGAATTTTTGGAAATTTATCTTTCTTCCTCAATTATCGACTCTGTGTCATTTTTCGATATTTGGATTTAATAGAGATTTTTTTGCTTTGTTTTATAGCAGAACTAGTGTCTATGATACATAACTATATTTCCGACTAATATAGCTGTACTTCAACAGTACTTTAACCTTATTTTAACTATACTTTAACCGCACTTTAGCCACAATATATTGATATATTGTATAATTAATTACAGTATTTTACCAACTTCATTCCAATCGCACTTCAATTATACTTTAACTAATGTAAATCTATGGATGATCTTAGAAAAGCTTTTTCACGTAAAAGTAGTATAATTCACCAAATATGTATGCCTCGGATTTGCATATCTTGGATTTGTCTATCTCAGACCGGGCGATCTCAAATAGTGAGTGTCGTACATTCCTACCAGAAAATTAAATTATAAGCTTATTATTCTCAGCTACAAGCTTGGAGATCTGTTCTTCTAATGATTCGATTTTAGATTGTGTATTTGCCATTTTTATATAAAATACAGATATGTTTAATTATATTATTGAATAAAAAAAATTACTATTACAAGTTCACATTGTTCACGCCGATCACTTGCCAAGAAAATTCTCGTTCATTGTTATTAGCGGATCGTATACATCACTCACAAAATACTTTTGTTTTCAATTGATTAATAAACTGATGATCTAGCCTGGCTATGGGTACTCAAAATATATATATATATAAAGTATATTATGTTAAGACAGATCACAAATACAAATTATATACTTATATAAAAATATGTCAACTTATAATATCTTTTAAAATATAAAAGACTTAATAACAATATCAACTTTACTTGCAAGTATTCTCTAATAAACAATAGAAAAGTTTGCAGAGAATATTAATGTTCATATGAAAAAATAGAATACAACTCTTTATACTACTCTTAGTAATACATACAAAATATCAATTTCATTGAGCTAAATAATTTTAACAGTCATAAACAAAATATAAAGAAAACAAAAAAATTAAACAAAAACACTCCCACTCTACAAGCCAACCCTCATCTTAAAATTGAATAAATGTAGAAAGAATTTTATTCAGTACAAACACTATATACAGCAATCAAAGTATAGATCCCATTATGACGTAAAAAAGGATTGGCACCACTCTTCACATCAATGAACTTGATACACTCAGATAATCTTTCTAGAATTCCACGGTTCAAAGACGGAGAAAAATACATTAAAATTATTATATACAGTATATAGTTTCACAAACCCTTTAACATACTTGAAATTTTATTTAATACTAGTAAGTCCGTTATCAAAATGATGTTATAGATAACATTGAACTTATATCAAAAGCCCATCCGTTTAATCTCGCAACTATTCTCCATAAAGTCCTGAAAGGCCTTTGTTTTCCGATTAACGATTCCATTGACATTTTGGTGATAGACTTCAATTTCCTGATATTTTTCCTCAGTTAGATAGATATTCATTTCATTAACCAAATAATTCCAGTCATTCCGCAATCCTGGAATATCATGAAGGGATGCCATCATTTTATTACCAGTAAATTTTAATTTTTCAATTGAAGGTCTCAATAAATCTCTCCATGAACCACCTCTCCACTCTTGATTCCATGTTTGCTCCACCAATTTGCATTTTTCTCTTAGCCTTTCTTGTTGACACATTAAGTTAATTGTCGGCTCACGTTTTGAAACTAGACTAAAAATCTCGTTGTATGTGGTCTTAATAATTTCTTGTAACATAGAAACCTGCCTACCATTGCTTCCGAGCATAGAGGACGGTCCATACTTGAGTAGAACTTCTAACTTTGCCATGACCTGATATTCCCAGTCGTAGCATGCATCGTTCACCGATCCAGAATTTGCCATGACGTCTCCAACAAATTTACAGAATTCCTTGAAAAATACCATATTATTAGAAAACTTATCCACATTTATGTCTTTTGATATGCGTGCATCGCACAGACTGACAAGTTCGATTGCCAGATCAACTTCCACCAGATCCTGCAATATATTTAATAGTTCTTCATTAAGTTCTTCCTTTCTAAATGATTCAACTGTCAAAGATCTTAATATTTCGAGTCGTTTGGTAAACGAGATGCATGCCAAGAAACCAATTTTATTTGATCTTTTCATTATATGCATCTGACGGTGAATGTCACTATCTTCCACGCTCAAATATACCAGGTGATATCGAGTCCTATCCAAGGTTCTACATATCATAATTTGATCGTCGTCCCGCGAGTTGCCAACCATTGGGAAGATTATATAACGTTGATTTGGAAAGAGTGCGCGTAAAGATATACTCAATTTGTCCTTTTTAGATTTCAAATAATCACCGTCTGATCTAAAACTTCTACGCAAATGACACTTGAAGCTTTCTACTTGCCTATGCCTTTCTTCGCTCGAATTATAAACTGCGTCAGCTTGCTTTCTTTTATAATCGACGTACTTTTCGATTTTTCGGATGTTTGAGCTGACACAATACCTTGTCTCAATTAGTGGAACGAAAAGCTTTTCAAATCCGTATTCACCGAGATCAGGACCGATTATATAGAATTTAATATCGTAGTTACAGGCGGCCTCATGGAATTGATTTGGTTTAATAAAATCCAACGCACAAGCTTTAACCTTTTCATTTTTGACATTTGAGATGCTTTCGATGTCTTCAAAATCATTGTTGAGAATGACGATAGTTTTGCCGCGGAAATCGTTCTTCAAATTTTCCAATTCAAAATGACCTTCCCTCGAGATATCCCATACTGCCATTTTTAATCCAAAATCTTTGCATATTCTACTCCACGCAAAATATTCTTCATCGTTTGTATACCGGTTTGTCACAAGAATAAAATCAAAGTCTTTAGTTTTATCGAATCTTGGTGATATCCTAACCAGGAGTTTCCGAATTTCAATATCCTGTGCCTTTTCGGGATTTTCGATGGTTCCAAGTTGAAGGGAGACCGAAAGGCTTGCCCTAATAGATGTTGGTGCATTATCTTTCCTAAAAATGTTGCAAGACATGAAAATCTGATTTCTACTCTTCAATTCCGGAACATCTATTATTATCGAAGCATTCTCCGAACCTCCCTTTGTCTTAAAAGCCAAACTATTAACGTCGTCGAGAGTAATTTTGACTGCCACCACTCTTTCTGAATCCGATTCTGAGCCAAAATCAATATCACTGATATTATCCAATCCCCAACCGATCGTTGTCAAGTCATTTCCTGGTATATATCTCACGCCAACATTGGAGCACATTCGGATTGGATAACAAACATCGAGCGTTTTAGGTATCTTGAATGAAGGAATTTGACGTTCAATTTCACACACGTTTACTTTCAAATTAATATCGTATAATTCCTTAAACGAATTTCCAAGTGCGGGTTGATCTTGCGGTTTGACTCTAAAACCCAAGGAATCGTTTAGCAATATTTCTTCCCGAGGCTTAATGGCTCTGTGCAAAAGTATGCACTGATCTGGAACGGGAATTAAATCGTCCGTCTTCATAATAGAAATTTTAACATGGCAATTAATTGGAGTCGACATTTCGCCTGTATTCCTTACTTTAATTTGATCGATGACGATGCTTGAACCTGGTTCGCAGATTCCACTCGAATCTTTGGGTTCACTCTTGTGTAAATTAAAATCAACAATTTTTAACTGGTAAGGACGATCAAACTCTTCTATCTTACTACTTTTTCCATTATAAATTTTATATTTCCAATTAATATTCTTATTTTCGGTTCCTTTCAATAGCAGTAGGAGATGTTTCTCGTGCTCATCGACTTCAACGGTGACATCTCCACGCTTGGCCAATGTACGAATATAGCCATTGGGTTGAAAGCGAAAATTGTGGTTCATCGAGATTTCAGTTTTATCAATTTTCACGACACCTTTTATAAATACCTCTCGGGGATCAGTCGAGTCGATTCGATTTAACAGTTTGACGTCTATCCGTTCAAGAATATTCTTGGATTCATCGTTTGTGATTGCATGATTTTTATCAAGGATTAAATCGTCCTTGTGTTCTGTCTCGGGGACGATCGCAAAACGTCGACGTTGAATTGATTTGAGAAAATCTGGTTTATTTATCACATTGATCTGCAATATCACCGAATAATTACTCGCTTCATCTTTTCCAAGACAGATCTGATAGTTAAATTGCTTCGTCTCATTCGCGCGAAGCAAGGGAATATCAAAATATGCCAGTGGTACTTCGTCTTCACATAGTATTGTTCTGATTCTCCTATGACAATCTGATTCATAACCTAGACCCGAATTACCAATGTTTCTGATAAACCAAAATAACTCATATACATTATTATCACTCGGTTTGCGTAATGCGATCACTTTACCAATATTGACGGGATATTGAATATCAAAATGTAGCTCTTTGCTTGCAAGTGAAATAAATCTTTCGATCCCAGTCATTTTTGCTCGAAATTCAGTCTTACATAATCTCTTGAACGGTTCTCCATCACTCACTTCTTTCATATCTTTGAGACGTACACACAATGTACCGTCCGAGACATTTGAATGATTTGGTTGAATTGATCTTGGCGCGTTATGCTGAGGTTTGTTGGCAAACATTTGAGATTGTTCAAGTAGAATTACAATGTCATGGTGTTTGGGAGTGGGCATTTTTCCATTGTTACGAAATTTTATATTGTGAACATTAATTGTTCCTCCAGGTTCAAGAATTCCGCTAGGATCTTGAACCTTTAATTCAAATTCTGTGATCTCCAAAGAGAACACTCCATCGTATGAAATTTGGGGGCCATCACCTAAGACTCGATATGTAAGTGAACCTTTAGAACCAGGTTTCCCCCAGGTTAATTCCGCATTACCAGGTAGACCGTTCCTACCAGGGCGACCGTCAGATCCTCCTTTCATGCTCATCGGCATGGCGCTAGTGTACCCGTCGCTTGTTTCCACTTTCCATCCTGTATATTTTTTCCCACCCTTACCTCCCAAACCACCCTTACCGCCCTCACCATTCTCCCCGGGACTTCCTCCGGCCCCACCGCCGACATCGTATTTGCCAATCAACAAAAATAAATGTACATCTTCTTCGTGTGCACTAATTATAATGTGACCTCCCCTTCCACCATCAGCTCCACTGGTGCCTCTGCCACCATCCTCTCCATCTTCGCCATTTTCACCTTTAAGATTTATTTTGTATTCAGTTGTCAAGTTTGACTTTTAGCATTTAAGTGAACGTCATTGATTATACTTACCGTCCCCTCCAGGGAAATGTTTTCCTGCGTTACGTCCATCTCTTCCGTTTCTACCGTCGCGTCCTCGCCCTCCTCTTGCCTATCATGCGATAAATGTATTCAACAATCCATAAAACAATTAAAAAAATATGCATTCATAAATTAACAATTTGGCGCAGCTACAGTTTTAAAGACTTACTCCATTTCCACCATTTCCTCCTCTTGCATTGATATTTATCATTCCAATTTCACGTAGCTGATATCTTTTCTCATCAATATACACATGTCCGTTCTCTTTGGAGGATAATTTAATCTCCTTATTTTTTCCATCTTCTCCTCGCTCAGGAAAACTTGCATCGCAACCAATGTCTCCATCTTTTCCATCGCGTCCACCTGCTCCTGAATACTCGAGATTTACATTATTACTATTCTTAGGCGTTTCTGCTTCCTCTACCGATGATATTAAATGAAGGTCTGTTTCACGTGTGTCCAATGTTTCGGTATCGTATGGTCTGATTTCTAGCAATTTATTAATATCATTGAGCGCTTCTTCGTATCTATTCATCTTGTAATAGACCTCTGCTCGATTTTTTAAAGCAAACACATTATCTCGATCGAGTTTTAATGAGTTGCTCAGATTTTCAAGTGATTCTTCATCTCTGTCCATGATGCGATATGTCGATCCGAGATATCCTAATGAAATCGCATTGTCTGGTTCAGTTTGAAATGACCTTTTGAGGTCCACAAGCGCCTCATCGTGTCTTCCCATCTTATAATAAGTCATCCCACGATTAATCAACGCGAATGCATCATCTGGTGCAATTTCCAATGACAAATTCAAGTCCTCCAGTGCTCTATCATATTTTTTTAGCATACAGTAGGACGCGCCACGATTTTTCAATGCAGATGGGTCATATGGTTGAACATTTAGGGATTTACTCAAATCGCCAATTGATTCTTCATACCTTCCTATTTTGTGGTAAATTTCTCCCCGTCTCTTTAATAAATCTGCATCATTTGACTTGATTTCTAGTAATTTGGTTAAATCGGAAACCTCCTCTTCAAATTTGTGCATCATGCGATAAGTCGATATCCGATTTTCCAATGCGTCTGCGTTATCAGGTTCAATTTCTAATGACTTTTCAAAGTCTATAAGCGATTGTTCATCCTTTCCTAGCATGCGATACGATTTGCCGCGAATTCTTAGTGCAAATGCATCATTTGGTTCGGTTTCCAACAACTCTGTCAAGTCTTTAGCAGACTTCTCGTGTCTTCCCAAAGCGTGATTTGTCGCTCCACGAAATTTTAATGCTAATTTGTTATTTGGTTCTATTTCCAACGCTTTGTCTAAATCTTCAAGCGATTCTTCGTACCTGCCCATCATATAATTAGCTGATCCTCGATTCGCCAATGTAAATGCGTCTTCGGGTTCAAACGCCAATGATTTCGTTAGGTCTTCATACGATTTATCGTAGCTTTCCAACATGAAGTAAGACGCACCACGGTTTTTTAATGCGAAGGAATCATGTCGTTCGATTTCTAAAGATTTTACCAAGTCTTTTACGGATTCTTCATAATTTCCTAGCATACGATATGATGATCCGCGAAATTTTAATGCGAATGCATTATTCGGATCAATATCTAATGACTTTTTTAAATATATAAGCGACTCATTATAGTTGCCCATCATGTGATAAGTTGCCCCGCGACCTCCTAGTGCGAATGCATCGTTCGGCTTGATTTCTAATGACTTTTTAAAGTCTTTTAATGATTCGTCATATTGTCCCAACATGCAATAAGCTAAACCACGATTTTTTAATGCGAACGCGTCATCTGGCATAATTTCCAAAGACTTTGTTAAGTCTTTAAGCGACTCTTTATAATTTCCTAACATGCAATAGGATGCTCCGCGATTTTTCAGTGCAAATGTGTTATTTTTCTCCATTTCCAACGACTTACTCAAATCTGCAACTGCTTTATTATGTTTTCCTGTCATGCGATATGTCGACCCACGACCTGCCAGAGCAAATGCATCATCTGGTTGAATATCTAATGATTTATCAAAGTCTTCAAGAGCTTTATTGTATTGTTCTAACTTGCAATAAGAAGCTCCGCGATTTTTCAGTGCAAATGCATTATTTGGTTTGATGTCCAAGGATTTATTCAAATCTATAATTGCCAAATCATGTTTTCCCAACATGAGATAAGTTGAACCACGTCTTCTTAATGCAGATGCGTCATTTGGTTCTCTTTTCAAATAATCTGTTAACTCTTTCTCTGCTTCTTCATATCTGCCCATCATGCGATGAATTTCTCCACATCTCCTCATTGAATCCACGAAAGACTACATGCCAACAGTCAAGGGTGGAATAATTAAATCAGTAAACAGATGCAGATAAGATCAAGCCATTTTTTGTGTGAATAACCCTTACATTTGAATCCTCCGGATCTTCAATTTCAACAAGCAAGTTTCTCGCTGAAAGAATTCATGTTTAGTTGATAAATTTCCTGGCCACGTGTTATAAAACGGCGGTAATTTGAAATTATAAGTAGCAAGTACCTTTTGAACTTAAATCCTTATTCCAAATTATCACCCGGTTTCGACCCTGATTTTTAGCCGCGTATAGAGCTTCATCGGCAATACCAAGTAGGGTCGTAAAGGATTGTAATGACGAGTTCATTTCAGCGACTCCCATACTGAGCTTAACCGGCAATTTTGTTCCTTTATAATCAAAATAGTGTGTCTCGGTAAGGATACGGATTTTTTCCGCAATCTTAGAGGCTGACTCGGCATCGGTATTCTTAAGAACAATGGTGAATTCATCTCCTCCATATCGTGCAAAAATATCTTCGGGGCGAATATGATGAGTTTTTATTATCTTGGCTAATTCCTTTAAAGCAAAATCTCCCGCATCATGGCAAACATCGTCATTTATGGATTTAAAGTGATCTATATCAAAGAATATTACGCTCAATTTGGATTTCTTTTCTTTGGCATTCTTGAATTCTCTTTCTAATGTTTTTTCCAAGAACTTGAAATTATATATTGGTAATCGGTGGTCTTGTCGATTTTGATATTCGCCTGCGGGAAGATATTGAAAAATACCCCTTCCCATTTTAATTAGGTCTTCTTTTTCTAAAGTATAACTTTCATTGTACTGAAGTTTATAGCTATTAATGAAGATCTCGGTTGTACTCAAATTAGTGATTGAAACTTTCCCTTTGAAATTCCTAACCATCGCTTGTCTTTTAGAAATCTCCTGGTCCTTTATTATAATTTGATTTGAAGGATTTCTTCCCATGAATGTTTCATCTCTATTGAGAAAAAAGTATTGATTTTGAGGTGAGCCTTCTATAACTGTCAGGCACGCCTGCGCCACCATTGAATGATCGGGTTTGTCCAAAGAGAAAATTTTTGGAATATAAGCGGAACTCTTATAAACGTGATCAATATCAATGTTTTCAAAATATTCGCCAACTTTTTCAATTGATGGTCGTTTTTCGGGAAATTCATTCCACGTATCACAATAAATATCTTTATAGTCTATTGGTGTTCCGTCGATAGGATTTTCTCTAATTCCGGAAATCAGTTTAAGTCGTAAGGTTGAATCATCCCATTCCAACATGTTCTTAAAAGGTTGAACACCACTTGATATTTCCCACAACAATACCCCAAGACTGTAGATGTCCGAATATTTATCCTTCTTCCGATGGGAAGAGGAAATAAGAAGTCGTGGATCTACATAGGAAACCATTTCAGAATCAAATAATTCACAAGTTTCGAAGATAGCGTCATTTTGTTTATCGAGAGATATGGACGACCCAAAGCCTATGATTACCAATCTGTCATCACGCATCAATATATTTTTAGGATTCTACGTATCAAATTAAATCGCGCGTCAATTATATAGCAAGACATTCACGTGGTTAGTTTGCGGAGGATAACCCAATACTTACTAGATTTCCGTGCACAATATTTGATTCATGAATAAAACTCAACCCGTTTACAATATCTTTTGCCATTCTTATCTTATCGGGCCACATTAGGACGCTGAACCTCTTTTGCAAATACGTTCTAAGATCTTCATTGGAAATGTATTGAAATACCATAGAATAATACTTCAAAGAAGGATCTGAATGTGGATAGGGTAATAAAAGATTCGAAAAATGAATATTATCAATTAAGAAATGCACGATAAACAAGACAATACCTTTGCTTATGCCTATAAATTTAATCACATTATCGCTAGGAATTGCATTTAATTTGCTTAAATTTTGTACCTGACAATTTTCAAGGAAAATCATAATTATTTTTATATTATATATAAAAAACATAGGATAAGTACTATGCATACTTCTCTAACGAAATTCTTATAATAATCATCATCGTTTCTATGCTCGTCCCTTTTTGAGTATCTGAGGGCAACAGTTATATTACGTCCTTTTAAGTAAGCCCTCCTGACATCACTAAATGCTGTTTTTGAGGCCTGCTCTACATCTTCAAACGAATTATAAGAAAATTCCACTATATATTTATTACTTATGGCATTTCCAATCCATTCCTTCGGACTTCTGAAAAGATCCATTTCCAACGACTCAATATGATGACGGATAGTTTAAATTTTTACAATTCTTATCGTTCTCGCGGAATTCTGTGCAACCTAGCAAGACAAGATAATCTTTACTAAATTAGTATTTTTCATTTGAGAAGCGTTTTCCGCGACTTTAATATCAGTACGTAATTTAGACATTTTAGTTTATGCATATTGAAGAATAAATTGATCACAAAGCTTTTATATCAGATCGTATTCCTGTAATGCTAACCATGATTGATTTTGTTTCTTTGTAATGTTGCCTCAAATAAAGTATGCGGCGCTATCCAAATATTTCATCAATGCATTTAAGTAGCTGTTTTATGCATTAGATATCATATGTAAAATAATTCAATAAGTGGGTGGGAATAAAGCGATATATGATAAATTTGATTATTATGCAATTAAATGCTTGAGTTTTCTCTTACATTATTATCTTAATATTAAAAATTTTAGCTTTAGATGAATTAAATCAAAAACCTTAATATTTCAAATTTTTATTTCAAAATGTTTTGACAAAGTTATTGAATTGTTGATCATTTCAAAATTTTTTAACTGTCTCATTGAAAATTTATAATACATAAATAAAAATAACAATTATTGTGTCTATTACGTATCCGTTTACTTTAAAATTATCCATAATTATCAACTGTAGTATTTTTTAATTTTATTTTTACTTTAATTTAGGTTTTTTTGTATGATTATTCATATTTCTATGCTAAAATTCTATTTCGAAAATATATATTATTTTTTTTTTTTTATATTTAAAATTTTATTCTTAATTTTAATTTTTATTATTTTTTAAATTAATATAAATGGCAAAAAAATATTAAATTACAAATATACTTTATTTACTAGACACAAACCTTAATCAACATTTTTTAAAAGTAAAAGTAAAAATTATTTTTTCGATTTTAAATATAACCTATAGCATTATAATTATTATACAGTATAATTTGTTGATATATTTTAATATTTAGAAACCATTTTTTTAAAATTAAAATATTCTTAAAAAAAGTAATGATAAATTAAATAATTAAATTTTTAAGAAAACCAAGAAATAAATATTTTTAGATAAAATTTAGATATAATAAAAATATTTTGACAAAAAATCATAAGCTTAATATTCAAGGAATTAAATATCAAGTCTATAAAAATATATTAATAAGCAAAAAAAATAATAATTACAATATAAATAATCAGAGAAATATTTTTTAAAAAATATACTTTATTTATAAATTTTATTTTAATAATAAAAAAAACGCATTATAAAATTAATAAATAATTTTTATACTATAAACAAATAAATATATTATTTAAAAAAATAGTAAGTATATAATATGATTTTTTCTTATAGAACTCTTTTTACTGATCTTCTGACCACACTCAAAAAAGATATTCACAAGAAGTTTTTCTACTTCTTGACTAATAAAATCTTACTACTTTCCTTAAACCAACCTGAAATAACAACTTCAGAAATTAT